TGCTAAATGATTCGGAAGTGTGCGGTCACCCTGTGCGCTGTACGTTCTGAGAAGACTGGGACCCGAAAATCAAAATGGCGGCAGCACTTTGGGATGATTTTTGGACTTTTCACTGTTTTTCGTTAATAATATGGATGTTTCACCGTTAAAAAAGAGCATGAACGCGTCTTGAGAAAGGTATGTAGGCTATCAAATCAAATATTCACGAAGTGTAGGCTATCAAATCAAACATTCGCAAATATTTCAACAATTCAAATAAGATTCAAATATTCCGATCCGATCCAACTTTTATACCTGCCTAGTCTCACTATCATTCACATGGAATCATCAGGATGAAGTAGGTTTAGATGGACGTCAAACAACTTTTGCAGTACATACCAAAGACACTACCTTGAAAACGTGTTTTCAGAAAATACCATGACAACACTGATTGACATCCACCAAGACCTACCTCGTCACTATGACAACACTGATTGACATCCACCAAGACCTACCTCGTCACTATGACAACACTGATTGACATCCACCAAGACCTACCTCGTCACTATGACAATATTGGTTTGATTTCCCTCGGTGCTATTGAAAAAAAAGAGCTGCGGTCATTGTTGATTTTGATTCCTGATCGCAGGATTACCATTCCAAGACCATCAATAAATACCAAACACCAATTTTGTGTTTTGATGAGGCTTCTCCACATATCTAAAGATCCATGGAACAAATGATGTTCCAATTCTGACAAGCTTTAATACAACTTCGAGGTGTGTTGAGTGTTAGCCTGCAAAGCAAATAAGGGAAAGAGGGGGAAGGGTGGAGGGTGTAGGATCCCTCCATTCCCTTTCAAGGGAACTTTGTATCTATTATTAGGTCAATGTACAAGGAGGACTGTTCAGCTATAAAACAGGAGGGGCTAATAACAGAATTTATTCTCTGCTATAAGGGAGTAAAACAAGGCTGTATGCTAAGTCCCACTCTTTTTAATCTATTTCTTAGTGACTTACCATATATTTTAAAACAATCTGAAAGTGCTGATCCTATTCTAGTGGATGGATCACTTCTAAATTGTCTTCTATACACTGACGACTTAGTATTACTAGGCAAAAACCCAAAGGATCTACAATCATTACTCAACCAGCTAAATTTATATTCCAACAGTAATGGGTTAACAGTGAACATTGAGAAAACAAAAGTTTTGATCTTTAACAAAGCAGGACGACGTCTAATTAATTATACCTTTTGCTATAGGGATCATATCCTTGAAAATGTTCGGCTATACAAGTATCTAGGTCTAACCTTAAGTGCTTTTGGGAATTTCTCGATTGCACAGCAAGAACTTAAAAAACCAGCCTTAAAAGCTTTGTTTAAACTGAAAAAAGAAATGGGATGTTTTTTTAACCACGACCCTACATAAACACTAAAATTATTTGATTCTTTAGTAAAGCCGATCCTTCTTTACGGTAGTGAAGTATGGGGCACTGACAATATGAAGACTGGCAATCCAATTGAGTCAGTTCGTATAAAATTTTGCAAAATGTTAATTGGGTTTTGAAGAAAGGCTACTAATTGCCCTAATTCACTATGACGTCACTGTTGTTTATGTGGGGGATAGAATCGCCAAATCCAATAGAAAATTCAACAAAATTTACTCTGAAACAGTTTAATCTAAAATGGCCTGGTTTTCAGATATAATGTGTTAAGATGTACTAAAAATATTCTGAGTGTTTGCTGGCTATTCTACTTCTCTTCGTGGATGGATACGGGTTTTAGAACAAATTTTGGTGAATTTGCGTTGGTTTGACCTCCTCTGACGACCATGATCCTTTGCGTTTAAACAATAGATTGTTTTGATGTGACGTCATAGTAAAATAGTGCAATTGATTCTGTGACAATAGAGCAAGTAAACTAGATCTAATGTTTCATATGTTACGTCCTTCTCTTAAGAATAATATTCATTGGTGAACACAGAAGTAATACTCAAGGGAATGACGTGAAATTGAATAGTCCCCTTGACAGATCCCTGCGCCATCTTGAAAGGTAGCCGTGCCTTTACAGCGAAGTGAGGCGAACGGTGAGCTTGCAATGATAGAGACGTGAATAATTGTCGAAGGTATTAAAAAAGGTCTCTATCATTGCAAGCTCACCATCAGTCTCGTACCCAGAGCCTGCGTTTCTTCTGGTCTGCAACGAAGAACGAGGGCTTTGGCATAATCCATTTTTTGTAACCAGGATTTCTTTGACTTCCGGTATATGAGCGCATGGGTTCAAAGACTTGTCAAACATTTTAAAAATTGTTCCCGATATTTTCAATTTTTATTTTAATTGGAAGTAAACACAGAACTCTGTTTTAAAGCATGATTTTTATTGATTATATTTGACTTCCAGAAAATTGCACATGCGCCAAAAG